TCATTTCATTCATTCAAAACTATAGAATACTGTACACCTAATTCACAAGACATATGTGAAGAGTTGTTTCAGTCCACCCAGGCTCCACCTGCTGATACTGCTTTTACTCCTAGCAGTAAATGTATCATCCTGATCCAGCTTATTTTTCAGTTTGCGCCATGATGTGCCGTTATTGTTACTGTGCCTCTTTTTGCTGAAATTGCAAAAAAAGAGAAATTGTTACACCCACGACTCTAAATGTATTTGTAGTCCTCCCCAAACCACTCAGCACAGACTATTCAGTTCAGTTGGTGAAGTTCTTTAGTTTGCCCAGTGAAAGAACTCATTGATGTTGAATCCATTTCATATTTAGCTCTATGTCTTGTGAAACATCAGTTCTTAAGAGAAAAAGTTCTATCTGGGCAGCTTTGGCAGTAGGGACAGTTGTTGTTTATTAGCTCTTCTAATCTGGTTACCCCTTGGATATACAGTGTAGCATATACCGGAAGATGTTGTCAGAGTTGTCACTGAGATCTGTTGTCACTTATACTGACAGGTGACATGGATTTTGTGTAATACTACACCTCCTAGTTGCACTTACAACTGGGCTTATTCAGCAACATCAGTGTTTATGGAAATGCTAATAGTAAAGTCTACTTCTACAGCTGTGTTCTAAGCACTGGCAGCATGTGCAATCTGCTGGCGAACAGACGGACAGTCAAGAGGCTTCAAACTTGTCCACTGCAGCACAACCTCGAGAGGTGTTAAGGTGTACCAAGCGCCCAGTCAGCCCTTCTTCAGTAATATCAGCTAAACCTGCAGATAAATGGGCTGTGAACCGAGTAAACAGCGGTCACATGTACGGACCAGTTTTCAATTACCTTGCGGTTAACCTTCCTGAAGAGGTCTCAGTCACTGCACAGCACAGCAGCTCATCTTTGCCTCTCTGTTTCACTGCCTTTCACTGCCTTCCTCTCTCTGGTCCGAGTCCTTTAGCATATAATGTTTGTCCATGTATTTGTAACACTTCTCATAACGACGCTTTGGTTCATCAAACTCCAGTCACACTTGAGTGAGACATTTCCAAAGAAGTGCTGTTGTATTTTCACACCTCACCTGTAGGTTTGCAGTCCACTCACCTGTCTACGATCTGGCAAGCAAAGGCAAATTCATAAACTTTTTAAATCAATTTCTACTCTACCCTCATTTAGTTTTACTTTAAGCATATTTCCATCTTGTGTTCAGCTGCATGTAATTGATTTTTTTTTCTCTCTCTCTCTCTTCTAGTCCTTTCAGCTTTATCCTTTATATAGAAACCGTTTGTAAACTATTTCAATGTAGCTGGAGAATCTTTATTTATTACCTTTGTGAAGGTTAATGGTGATGATGAGATATGACTGTCGATGACGGTTTACAGGTAAGGTAGGTGAATTATTAACTCTAACAGCAGCTATAAATAACCATAACTGAAGAGAGGAGTCATGCTTAAGGACGGCTACTCTAGTCCTGTTGCCGATGTGATTTACACTGGGTGAAATCCACGTTCAGCTGTACAGTTCTTTTCATTGCTGTGTTGTGAGTGGTTAAATACAACTAGCTTACTTAATCAAAGACTGTTGATACACATTCATGTTTAGAATATTCTTAAACCTACATAGACTGCACACATTCCTGAGCGGTTAGAGGAACAAATCTAAACGCCTTCATGACTGCAGTGCAGACTGAGTCATATCATTCAGTGCCAAAGAAAGATACAATGGACTTGTATTTATGGAAGAAATTTCACAATGGAAATGTAATTCTCAGAGCATGATGCATGGTTGAGTCAGCGGTGGTCTATGCATTCTAAAAATATCCATTTGCATCTCTTAACGTCTTCTGAATTTATTAATTTTCCTCCACAGACTTGCATGTGACAGCAGTTCATCAGAATAGGATATTGGACACTACAGCTCCTTCTCTCTATTTGCCTATCTAAATTTACATAATCACTCTCATAACTGAAACGTCCAGGTTGATTTCTGCACAGACGCATGCCAGTCATCATCACAGGCTATCGGCTCAACAGACAGTGCACTAATTATTTTTTTTCTTACAGCAGCAAACCGTCAGTGGGATGGGAGTTATGTTGTCTATGATATGTCATTGGGATCCCTTTATAAGCAGTTAGCTCAAGCCAACTAGGTGCTCAAAGGACAAATACACCAATCAGCAACAATATTAAAACCACTGAAAGGTGAAGTGAATGTCATTGACCATTTCATTACAATACAATGTTCTGCTGGAAAACCTTAGGTCCCAGAATTTACGTGGCTGTAGTATGACTCATCCAGTGCAGGATGTGGGTATAGACCTGCGATTGGTCACTCATTTAAGGGAGCTTTGCCTTCCCCTTCCACTATCTGCATGTTACTGTTTTCTTTACTACACAAAACAACAACAACAGCCTCCAAGTAGAAATCTAACACAATAAAAAATTTCAAGTTTTGCCAAAGATTAGAGTTGTGTGGTAAATTCTGCCAATTTTTTTCCCGGAAAACTATCCATTTTTATCACAGTGTTTCCCTGCATGCAAATGTTCCACCACAACAGTTCCACCCATCATTATTTTGAACCAATCTGCATCCTTCGCTTTGCCCTGCCCACTGAGACTGCGACTGGTTTAAAGACTTGCAAAGTTGTAATTATGATGCTGAGTCCCCAGCAGGGGACACCCTGGACAGGTCGCCAGTCTACCACAGGGCTACACTTAGAGACAGACTGGACTATGTGGGGAAGCCAGAGAACCTGGAGAGAACCCACGCTGCACGGGGAGAACATGCAAACTCCACGCAGAAAGATCCAAGGTGGCCCCACAGGGACACGAACCAGCGACCTTCTTGCTGCGAGGCAACAGTACTACCAACTGCGCCACCCTGCAGCCGGATTAGTCATTTAAAGAAAATTCAACTTTAGCGGGGAAATGCCTCCTTGCTCAAACTGTTTAAAAATCCAGACAATTGAAACATGATAAGCAACCACAGTTTTTGTAATTGCTTACATGCCAACAATGTCAAGAACCACTGGCATAATCTTTATCTGTACAATGTATCAAAGAAAGCTTTTTCTTTTTGACAGACCTGGTCAAGCAAACAATTAATCTAAACACAGCAGACCTGAGACCTTTAATCAAATGTATGTATATTTTTTAACAAGCAGATTTTGGCTTTTTTTTCAGAGGACCTGTAATAAATGTATCAGCAAACAAAATGCATGAATGTTTTTTTTTTTTTTTTGTGGTACAAAGACAAATGGATTTCAGTGATTTCATCATAGAATATACTGGGTTATAAGTGACACTGGACACTTAAGACTGCCATGATATACACAGTCTATACAGGTGTATGTAAGCTTTTGTTCACAACTGTAATATGATCTGCTGGACAGAATAAGTACACCTGTAGCCTCAGAAGCTAATATTGCCCCCTTCTGCAGAAACAACTTCTCATAGGTCTTTTGATGAAGGTTGATGACGCTTCATTGCAAAATTCCTGAAGTTGCAAGGTGTTCAATGGTTTTCCAGTATGTACTGCCTATTACTGCCCAAAACCTCCCACAACATAGATGGGAATCAAATCTGGACTCTGACTAGGTAATTCAACACTCTCCATTTCTTCTTTACGCCTAAGAAAATGTAGATTTTCTCCTTAACATGCTTCATAATATGCAGTACATGAAATCCTCAATTTCTTGTGTTTGAGCTGTTAACAGTCATTATCCTATTGAAAGGTCAACTGATTGTGAAACCTTAAGCTGGTCTCACATTACCCTCAAGGTAAGATTCAGAATTCATAGTGGAATAAGCGACTGTAGACACTGTTTGAGGACTAAGGGTTTTCTAGTCTATCGAACAAGTCAACAATTTCTATGGGATCAACTTATTTTTTCACATTTTCTGTTATGTGCCGAGACTTGACACATACAAATATGAACTGAATGAAATAAATATTAAAAAAAAAAAAACACAATTATCTATTTTAATTAGCTGATCCCTCTCCCTGCCTGCTAAAACTCACTCCCCTACACCTACACACTGTTTTTCTCCCTGTACACTGAATCCCCTGCCTCCCCTCTCCCTCAGTGTCTAGCAGACAACAAGAGAGACTTTGTGGATAAATGTGGGTAAATATAGGATTTGACTGGTGCCTGATGTGCACTGCTGCACTAGGGAGATGATGAGGAGAAGAATAGTGCTATCTGTGTACTGCTTTGTCTCTGTTTGTTTGTTGTGCTTGAAATAGTTTTTGTCACACCAAACGTGAAAAAAAGTGCAACTTGGCAGGAATACAGTGGATAGAAGAAAGAAGCATTTTTACCACATCAGTCAAAGTAGAGATCAGTATTTAACTACGATATTTTGAGTGCTTAAAATGTATCAGTACAGAGTATTCAAAGTTGTCAAGTACCAGAGTTTGCATCAGTTTTATTTTTAACACCACGATTGACAATAAAAATGTTGTTTAAATTCCTGCTTCAAATCACTGTCTTACTTTAGAGGAAGATACATGCTTTAAGTAAATCTGGGGGCTTTAGAGGTTCTAAACTGGGTGTATACTGTGGTCATTGAATCAGTGAGTCAGCTGAGGGCCACATCTTCAGCTTTGTTTTGGTCTTTGCTGATTCTCAAGAAAAGTCACAAAGTTGATGATTCTCAAGCAGCTTCTGGAGGTTAAGGAAGATCTTTTTTTCTTAGCAGATTTACGGTTACTTGTTCATGATTTAAAATAATGTACATGTAACAACGCTGAGGCCAAAAATATATATTTAAAAAATATGAATTGTTGGCAAAGCTAACAACAACTTAAATTAATACATGTATGCAAAAAATAAAAATAAAACTGATGCAGCCCATGCAGTCAATCAGACAATAATTCAAATAATGGGTACACAGAACAGAGAAAGGTGAAAAGACTAAAATAATGTTAAACTGTATGAAACATAAATACATAGCAGTAGAGTAGCAGACAGGAAATAGGACTAACCTGTCTGATGGTCCTGGCCACCAGGCTCTCCAGCACTGGTCCTCGATCTTCATGTAGAAGGTGAACTTCATCCAAGATCAAAAGACGCACAATCTGGGACAAAGCCACATCTCCAACACTCTTCCTGGTCACAACATCCCACTTTTCTGGAGTTGTCACCAACATCTGAAAACAAGCACCAAGACAGTAGGCACAGGATGCTGGAATTTAGTGATTTAATAAAATAATCTACCATGTTTTCAATACATTCTAAAATTGTCCGTAGGTGTGAATGTGAGTGTGCTTGGTTGTCTGTCTCTACGTGTAGCCCTGTGATAGACTGGTGACCTGTCCAGGGTGTCCCCTGCCTTCACCCTAAGTCAGCTGGAATAGGCTCCAGCCCCCCACGACCCCTAATGAGGATTAAGCGGTGTATAGATGATGGATGGATGGATGTTTTCAATACAGCAAAAGAGACTACACCTTAGCTTTAAGATGAAGGGACACTAGAAAAGGACGAGTGATCTGTGATTTAATTAAAGTTGATTAACATTGATGTTTTTACATTCATAACATTATGGTGACTAGTAGCACATGGATATACGCTGACAGTGTGTAAGACATTGCTTTATGTGTGACTATTTCCCAGTAGGACTTCTTTTTTTTTTTTTTTTTTACAGAAATCACACTCACTTGTTTTAATAAGCAAATGTTCATGCACTTAATTTCATTCGCTCACTACTTGCTGTGATTCAGGTCTCTATTTTTGTGAACCTTGCAGCATCATGCCCATCAGCGGAAGCAGGCTTAGAGATCAAGAGAAATCTTGCATGACAAACTGGGCGCATGGAGTTTGAAAGGCATTTATTAGGCAGTGAGACACTCATGAAAAGAAAACACACTGAGGCACCCTGATTACTCCGTTCACATTTGTCCTATTAATTGATTCCCAAATCCTGAAAGGGTGCCAAAACTGTGATGGACAATGATTGGTCAACCTAAAGCATTTGTTAACATACAGCTGAAACTGACACTGAGATGTGAGACATCAGTGCACACATAATGATACAAAACCCACCATCCACCTCAAGTGAAGCAACACAGCAGGACAGGAGTCAAGTTCACTCCATTCAGGTATGACTTCCACATCCATTCTTAGGCACTAGTAACGAATGGCACACAGTATTGTGACCTCCACACCTACAGGGTCTTTACTATAAAACTCTTTCTTTGTGTTCCCAAAAACATGCTGATCTACAGCAGAAGGGCATAAAGGAATTCCTTGAATAGCCATGTACAAATTGCTAAAAACTACAATGACTCGTCATAGTACTGGTTGTGTTACTGTTAATACTGTTATTATACCAAAATTTCATCTTTAAAGTTCTAAAATTCTTTGACCAAGATTGTTGAAATTATTTAGGAGATTATTGGTGAGTTAAATTTTCTCAGCAATTTCCTGCTCACTTAACTGAATGCCGCACACTTTAAAAATCAGAGCAATACAAGAAAAATCCCTCTAGAAAATGGCATTAGAACATGGCTCATCAATGCCCAATTGCCCGTAGCTCTGTTCGTTACAATACAGCTGGAAGCACCCAAATCACCACACTAACAAACCGTAACAACCGACGTACATCACTCATATCTTGTGTGCTAACTTCGATACGTGCTCAGCAGATGTATGTGTTGTGTCTGTGGTGTTTTGTGTGACACAACGAGCAGTCAGCATGTCTACTTCTGCCTTAATGTCTCCCCTGGAGTAATTGTAGTCAACAGTATCAACACATCTTATTTGTATCAAACATCAAAAAACACCTTCTTGGCACATTACTTAGTGCCTATAATTCCAGTGCAATTTTATTCTCTCTTTTCAAGAAAAATACTAAAATACATAATTAATGGTGTGTGAACTGTTTGGCAACCTGTCTGGGGGTGTGCATATTCCTATTAAACTCTTCCTGTAAAAGCAGTTCATTAAATCCCCTCTAGTTTGCATTTAAATCAATCTATTCAGCCATTAGAGACTGGCGTGCTCACAGAAAAGGAAGCGCCTGCTTCTAATTGGACCTACTGGTTAATCAAAATGGAGGCTCTGGCAAATGGAGCACAGGCCAGAGTGCTTTTTTAATTGCTTCACAAACACACACAAGGAGGTGCAGAAAAAAACATGCCATTGTTTGGAAGAATGCTGCTATTTAGTCTGTTTATTAACTGATCACAGCAGGGCTGAAATCAATTCTCTAAATCTAATGATTCTTAGTGTTTCACAGAACAAAATGAAAGTTAACATTTCTTAAAGGTGACAATTTAATCAGAGTTAGAATGGTTTTATAAACATAAAAAGTCATATATGGCTTGTAACTGTTCTAATAACTCTAAACTGAAGCAAAACTGAAGACCATCAGACACAGTGTAAACCTATTCATAAGTCAATAAAGGATCGGTTTCAAAAAATCCGGATGATCTTTTTTTTTTCTTTTCTTTTCTTTTTTTTAAGTTTGAGCCAGCTACTGTTTGTTTCAGTAAATAAATTTTAAAAAAATCTACCTTTAGACACAAAAACAATTCTTTAAGCTTGATAATCCATCACATTCCTCTGTCGTTTTTGTGAAATTGATGCCATTTGTAATTCTAAATACTTAAATTTGCAATGCATTTAAAAACAACATATTGGATGTCAGAAAACCACATAGAAACTACGTCCTCATTAAGTGGATAGTGTATTTGTTAGTTGGTGGTTTCATTTTAATGTTGTTTCCAAACTATGAACAAACCAACAGTGAGTCAGAATCAGTATCCACTTGCACCCACGACATTAAAAGTAACATGCTTATCCCAAAGCCAAACTCCACATCTCATAACTCAGAAGTCCACCAGCAGTGTTGTGGTAAAGATTAAAATGTTTTTTTTGTTTTTGTTTTTTTTTACACAACTTAACATGAAAAAACCCCTTTGACAAGCAGAAGTTAGAGCTCAGAGAAATCAGGCAAATTTGTACCATTGTGCTTGTGAAAGTGAAGCACATACACTATATTGCCAAAAGTATTCGCTCACCTGCCTTGACTCACATATGAGCTTAAGTAACATCCCATTCTTAATCCATAGGATTTAATATGACGATGGTCTACCCTTTGCAGCTAGAACAGCTTCAACTCTTCTGGGAAGGCTGTCCACAAGGTTTAGGAGTGTGTTTATGGGGATTTTTGACCATTCTTCCAGAAGTGCATTTGTGAGGTCACATACTGATGTTAGACAAGAAGGCCTGGCTCTCAGTCTCCGCTCTAATTCATAATTCAAAGGTGTTCTATCGGGCTGAGGTCAGGACTCTGTGCAGGCCAGTCAAGTTCATCCACACCAGACTCTGCCATCCATGTCTTTATGGACCTTGCTTTGTGCATTGGTGCACAGTCATGTTTCCACAAAGTTGGGAGCATGGAATTGTCCAAATGTCTTGGTATGCTGAAGCATTCAGAGTTCCTTTCACTGGAACTAAGGGGCCAAGCCCAGCTCCTGAAAAACAACCCCACACCATAAGCCCTATTCCACCAAACTTTACACTTGGCACAATGCAGTCAGACAAGTACCGTTCTCCTGGCAACCGCCAAACCCAGACTCGTCCATCAGATTGCCAGATGGAGAAGCGCGATTCATCACTCCAGAGAACGCGTCTCCACCGCTCTAGAGTCCAGTGGTGGCGTACTTTCCACCACTGCATCCGACGCTTTGCATTGCACTTGGTGATGGCTTGGATGCAGCTGCTCTACCATAAAAACCCATTCCATGAAGCACTCTGCACACTGTTCTTGAGCTAATCTGAAGGCCACATGAAGTTTGGAGGCCTGTAGTGATTGACTCTGCAGAAAGTTGGCGACCTCTTCACACTATGCGCTTCAGCATCCACCGACCCCACTCTGTCAGTTTACATGGCCTACCACTTCGTGGCTGAGTTGCTGTCGTTCCCAAACACTTCGATTTTCTTATAATACCACTGACAGTTGACTGTGGAATATTTAGGAGCGAGGAAATTTCACGACTGGATTTGTTGCACAGGTGGCATCCTATCACAGTACCACGCTGGAATTTCCTGAGCTCTGAGAGCAACCCATTCTTTCACAAATGTTTGTAAAAACAGTCTGCCTGCCTTGGTGCTTAATTTTATACACCTGTGGCCATTGAAGTGATTGGAACACCTGATTCTGATAATTTGGTTGGGTGAGCAAATACTTTTGACAATATAGTGTATACATGGTGCTGAGCACTTAGGACAAACAGGGAAAAGATGGTTGGAGTCAACAGGTCTCTAACTAACTAACTAACTAACTAACTAACTAACTAACTAACTAACTAACTAAGATGACTATATCTGTGGCTACTGACACACAAGTTAGAAAACCTGTGTTCACTAAAACAAAACTAAGAACACCAGTGATTCCAGCTAGATTAACTTCCTAAACGCGGTTATAAAATGGTCTATGAACACCAGAACCTTCTCCGTTTTGGATTGTTGGCTATGTCTGTCTGCCTGCCTGCATCATGGCTTAACATTGGAGAGAATTGCCAGAGGAACCTATAAAATGATTGTGAGACTCCGACACAATGGAAAATGAAATAGCGATTGTGACCAACTAAAAATCATTCAAAAAACAGATGTAGCATTCTATCTGGTATCCTTTTCACGATTACCTTTACCTTATCCCAACTGGTCAAGGTAGATGGCCGCTCCCTCAGGCTGGTTCTACCGGAGGTTTCTCCCTAGTAAAGATGAGTTTTTTCTTCACATTGCCAAGTCCTCATTTAAAGCGAATCTAAAGAAAACTTTAAAATTGTTGGGTTTCTCTGTGTCATTTTATAAAATTTTCACCTAATTATGTGAAGTGTCTTGAAATAACATATGCTGAATAGACACTATTTAAATTGAAATTGAACTGACTGGAGTTAAACACGGCTTGTAGGAGATTCATTGAAAGTCATTACAGCATTTTGATGTGGTGGAGGTAGAGAACATTTCTTGTAGTATGGGGCTTGTTGCCATATGATTACTTATATACAATGATTATTGTACACTTATCTATGGCTTATTCAATCACTAGGTAGTCCATTGTTTAGCCAGCATACACAGAGCAGCCACAACATTACAACTACTGACAGGTAAAGTAAATAACACTGATCATTTAGATAAAATG